TCAAGAGGGCAACAGAATACCTTGTCATTATCTCAAAATTTAGCCGTTGATTCGACCCATCTTCTTCAAGATCGCCACACTGTACACGTTGTTTTCGTTTTATCTGTCCCACAGAAGCAACAAGTGAAAAAGGTGGAGACGACATAACCTAAGTGTAAGCACAACAGCTGCAAAACCATCTCGCATTAGATCTTTTGCGCGACTAGACACACTTTTTAGACGCTATATGCGTGTCTGCAGGGTTAGAAGGCAGCAAGAATTAATGTTTGGTACAGAATTCTCACTACACTCGCCGAGAGCCACCGCTACAACACAAATACTGGGAGTGTGTGCTCTTCACCTGATTAATCTGAACCATCCGGGTACACTATTTAACTTGTTGGTAAGTCAACAAACAACAGAGACGGCTAGACTGCATTACTGCTACTGCGGAGCTGCGGCTCTGTTCCGCTTTCCACTATGCATTAATGTCAACGAAATGTCGTTTTCGACCTTCATTGGAAGCGGTTAGTATTAAGGTATTGGATTGCTAACGAATCACTGCATGCCGTTTTGTAACTGGCAACCGGTAGCAAACGTCTGACCTGGCCTGTCTCCGTTGTGCAGCCCAGAGTTCGCCCTGGACAGGGCCAATGAAGAATTACCCAACCATTCCCTTTCAGTCAAAGGACCACTTGGTCGCTATAGGAGTTTGCTCTGTTTTTATTTTAATTTTAGGGACCCTTTATATGCAGATTCCATTTTTGACGCCTCGAGGACCGTTTTATATATTCAAGAATCCTACGAGTGTCTTAGGACTGCCAAAAATGACTGATACCTTCGCGCTAGGGTGCCCTGTCACCTTAGGGACCGCTGGGAGGGATTTCAATGCTAACGTCCCCACCCCTCCCTAGCTACGCCACTGATCACTTGTTGAAACAGCTCAACGTCTGAAACCCGATATGCATGGTTCCGCGCTGTCTAAAGAACTAAGCATGATACGGTAACGTAACAAACGGATGAGGCACAGCGCTTGGCAAACCGAATGGCATATTAGTTTGACGGTTATCAAAAAAAACATTGGCTTTCGATATACCTATGTGCGTATATATATATATATATATATATTTATGTTTACATATATATTATATATATATATATATATATATATATATATATATATATATGTAAACAGGTGGGTATATTGCACCATTCTGCGCACAAGAAGGTTTCAGTATTCGACCGAGAGCCCGACCCTGATTGGGCTGACCTTATGTTGTATTCAATATTTTTCCATGGCCATAGTATAAGACATATGGACAGAACATAAGACCTTCATAACGTCGACAACGCGGTAACCAATCGCGACCTACCTTTCGAAGATGACGTTCGCTTATCCTGCTCGCCTTGAGTCGATCAGCATGGACATTTGCCAAACCACTGTTCCCCATAAAGTGTGGTTATGGGACTGATACGCTATGTCTGCTCCTCCTAGATGTAATGAGTTGCTTAATGTTCCATGATTACAGAGATGTTGAAGTGACATAAGTGGTCTCTGTTCCAGAGGTACGTCGCATTGAACAGACCGTTATTCCATCTCTTAGCGAAATCTATCAGTGAATAAAGTCTTTTATGACACAATTGGACGGACTGGTCTGAGTCGCAATCCGTTCTCCCCTTCAGAGAGCTAAACGTGGTCTGGCCATCGGTTTCAGCCCGGCATCTGTGCCACAACCTCATGTGTGGCACAGCGACACCCCCTTCTTCTGCCTTCACCAGTGACTTTGGCACCGGGGATTCCACCGGTGCCACACTTCCCTCCGCGCGCTGGAGATCGCATCACCCGGCACTATGCGATCTCGCCCCGCCGCCGTCGGACATGTGTCCATGACGCGCTGTGTTGCGCTGTTTCAGAGATAAGCGGGTCCAGTCGGTCAGGGCCGCCGGCAAGCCGGAGTCCAAGTATGCTGAGTCATCCGCGAGAAGCCGATCCGCGTCACCACTCGCATTGATCGTCCCCGTGAAGGATCACCCAAAGGCAAGGCTGGTGACGCGCCACATCCGTCGTGGTCTGTTTCATGATGAGCGGTCGTCGATCAGAGCTGAACTCATTGTTATTGTCAGATCGGCACGACCGGCATGGAATGAAAACAACGCGCTGTGGCGATGGTTAGCGTGTGCCAGTGGTGAGTGGATTAACATATCGCGAAATAATGGGCCGATCTGAGCACAGGCAGGCAACGAGCGGGAGAGGGCTGTGGAGGGGAAGAGAGTATGTCTGGCTGCGGTCTGTACAGCATAGGGGGGGGGGGGGGGGCGGGGGGCGGACCACTCCAGGATCGTGGGCACGAGGCTGCTGCTGGCGCCCTAGCAATTCAAGTGCAAAGGCGGTGGAGACAAGTCCTCGGCCCTCGCTAAACACGCAGAATCTCTCTCTCTCTCTCTCTCTCTCTCTCTCTCTCTCTCTCTTCTCTCTCTCTCTCTCTCTCTCTCTCTTCTCTCTCTCTCTCTCTCTCTCTCTCTCTCTCTCTCTCTCTCTCTCTCTCTCTCTCTCTCTCTCTCTCTCTCTCTCTCTCTCTCTCTTCTCTCTCTCTCTCTCTCTCTTCTCTTCTCTCTCTCTTCTCTCTCTCTCTCTCCTCTCTCTCTTCTCCTCTCTCTCTCTTCTCTCTCTCTCTCTCTCTCTCTCTCTCTCTCTCTCTTTTCTCTTCTCTCTCTCTCTCTCTCTCTCTCTCTCTCTCTCTCTCTCTCTCTCTCTCCTCTCTTCTCCTCTCTCTCTCTCTCTCTCTCTCTCTCTTCTCTCTTCTCTATCTCTCTCTCTCTCTCTCTCTCTCTCTCTTCTGCCTTTTGGCTCACCGGAACTATCTCATTTAATCGCTTTAGCATGCATTCACTGCTTACATTCGTCGCCATGTGGTGTGAGTTTGCTTTGATATATGCGGCCATTTGGACTAGGCCTGGACTATGTGCGCCAAAGGCAAATGGCTTTAAGGGAATGCAAGTGTCGCAGGCTGATTAATGAAGCTGGTTTTTATTCAAACATCACCGCGCGGCCAGCTGTTACACAGCCCTTTGCACCAAGAAGAGCTGATTCGACGCCACCGCGCTCTGGAGTGGATTGGGGACATGAAACCCATGGCCGTCGAGATAGTGCATTGGGTTGTATGTGTAATATGGAAGCATGCGGAGGACCTACACATTTAATACCATTTGAGACATTCCTTAAATCTCTTTGAATCATTTAACCAGCAGCTTTTGACAGCTCTTTAAGTATAAAATGCACGGTGCCTCCTCATGGTGGGTCAGGCTCGTTAAGGAAGGCAAGCTGCTGGGCATTATAAGCCCTCAAAAACTGGACAAGGTTACATGTAAGCCCCGCTGATCAAGTCAATCAGCCCGCCCTGTGCGAGTCAGTCAGCGGCCAGCCAGCGGAGCTGGATGGTCGCGTCAGCTGTCGTCGGAGACGGTACGCGGAACTGCCGGTTTGCAATCCTCCCCCCCCCCCCCCCCGAGGGGCGTGGGGAGGAAATCGTCAGAACGGCTCACTCAGCTGTCAAAGACCTGCGCAAACTGATGCCAGCCGAAGCCATAGTTTTCAGCGCTGCAAGGTTGTTCGGGCCGAGTAAAAAAGACCCACGCATGGTGACTGGTGTGAGTCTAGTCGAGTCGGTGGTGAGTGCATGCGCGCAGAACTGTCGACACACTGCACATCCCACACGTGCAGATCTGCGGCACACCGCACCATTCCTCCTGTGCAGGGCTGCCGACACACTGCACCCATCTCACACGTGCAGATCTGCGGCACACCGCACCATCCCTCGCGTGCAGATCTGCGGCACACCGCACCATTCGTTATGTGCAGAGCTGCCAACACACTGCACTATCTCTCACGTGCAGATCTGCGGCACACCGCACCATTCCTCATGTGCAGAACTGCCGGCGCACTGCACCATCCCTCACGTGCGGAACTGCCGGCGCACTGTACCTGGTTTCACGCGCAGAGCTGTCAGCACGCTGCAGTATCACTCACCGCGCAGGACTGCCGGCACATTTCCCCTAATCTCACATGCAAAACTGCTGACATACTGCACCTCCTCTCACGCGCAAAACTACCGGCACACTACACCATCTGTCATGCGCAGAACTGCATGTACACTGCATGTGCTCTCACGCGCAGAACTGCCGGCACGTGCGCCCTCACTCTCAAGCACAGGGTAGGACTGCCGAAACACATTTGCCTCCACGTGCAGGACCTGCGGGCACACCCACCCACCCCTACGAGCAGAAATACCGGCACACTGACACCTACCCCCACGCACAGGACTGCCAACACACTGCCACCTACGCTCACGCACAGGACTGCCAACACACTTGCACCTACCCCCACGCACAGGGATGCCACACACACTGCACCTACCCCCACGCACAGGACCGCCGACACACTGCATCTTCACGCTCATGCGTAAAATTGCCTACACATCGCACCCTCCCCATATTCCCGAAATCGGCGGTTGCATTTGTCTGATAACAACGGAGGATGCTGACGACGTCACCGACCGCTCATCGTCAGCGAGGAGAATGCATCTAATCACGCGTGGTTCAACTGTTTCTTAATTTCGACCAATCGTCGCCATCGACGTGGTCGGTAACGGGCGTCAACGACTGCCGGAAGGTAACGGGGATGTAAGGCCGCAGCGGGGACTGGTACAGGCGAGCCCGCTGAGGCGCCCCGCCACTAATGCTGGCCTGTTTCTCTCACGCGTGTGTGCTCGTTGCAGTTCAATTTCGTCGGCAAACTGCTCGGCCCCAAAGGCAACTCTCTCAAACGGCTACAGGAGGAGACGCTCACACGAATGGCTATTCTGGGCCGCGGCTCCATGAGAGACAAAGTCAAGGTGGGTCTACTTCCGACTGGTGGTTCGCTCCCCGGCCTGGTGTTTTTGCTGCGTCGCCCAGACTGTCATAGTACCTTTGGATGTGACTGCCTGCGATGCGGGGGGCAGCGACTTAGATTGGAAACTAGCGGCACGGCACCACAAATATCTTGAACTATATTTTACGATTACAAACGTTGTTGGGCTCATAGAACAGTGTCATGTGTGCAACTTACAAATATCTGTATGCCTGTTTCCGGAGCTTCGATTTACGTATGATCAGCAAGTGAAACTAGCTCAAGTCATATCCTACCGATGCTTCCTTCGGAGCTCATCTGCTAGCGATTCGATGTGATGCTAGTGCGGTGACATCAATAGTTGATCTGCGATGTCATGGCTGCAGTGCAAAAATATCCAGCAACACTAGTTTGTGCAATATCTAAGACACCTGAGGTGATCATGGCCTCTAAAAACCTGAACGTCGCCTCCGAGACGCTGTCAGTTATGTGGCGGGTTGATACTGTCACGTGGCCTAGTCTGTCGTCCGTTTTGAGCTTTCAGCTGATGCACCCTCGTTTAGGAAAAGTTTTGCCGAAGCTTTGGTCGCTAATGACGCTCATTGTAAAAACAGCCTGAATCGACACTTTCAGAGACACTTGACAGCGTACGGCCCCACGCATGACTGTATGGGATAGGTAATTTCCGGACCCTCCCAAATGCACTTGGCGACCCAGTCTTCAAGTTTTCCCACGCGCAAACTTTTAGGAGCAATATCATGGCTTAAAGGTCTGGGGTGAAAGCTATTAAAACACTCAAGACAGTTAAAAGAGTGAATTCGGGTAGCTAAGATGGTAACGCGACCTGAGAATAGCTCAGGACATGCTTAAAAATCGGAAGGAGCTGGTCTTTGCTCGTCAATGGTTTTACAAGTGGCACAGCGCTCTCGAACCCCTCAGAATTATGGCGCATAGGAGAGCACCAGGCCAGGAAAAGGCCAGCTCTAAGAACAGCATGTATGTTTCACAGGTAATGGTACGATGCATACGGATGGCTGGACCCTGGAGTCATTGTGCTTGCGACACTCTGCAAAAGGTGTTTACAGTGGGCTGTGTAGTGGCTCGAGTGCAGCTTACTAGAATGGTTGGTCTCACTGTACAAATTGCGCCTCCAGTCTTCCTGTGGGACGGAGTATGGCGACAGTTCCAGACCACTGGCAGATAAGTTCACGGTGGTATTCGAAGTGCCTTTGTTGTGATCTTGCTGCAGCGAGAACCGTTTCAGGTGCACTACAAGGGTACATGAAAACTTCTAAATCAGGAGTTCTTGGGGCACTTGACCTTCCGGCACATGAAGAACGTTGGCTTTTTATCTCCGTCAAGTAGCTCTTGCTTGGTGAAAAGGTCAAAGCAATCCTGTTACCGCACCTGGTCCGTTATGGACGGGATCAGCGGGCTCAGGTCCCAGAAACGGTCGAACGTCGCGGCTGGGGTGATAAATGCATCTTTTCTGTCACCGTCGAAGTGTAGACCGGCTCGGTTGTCACCTGAAGCCTTCCTTTCATAAGAAGGAAAGGCTTCAGAAACCGTTGAAATATAACGGTGCGATTTTTCAGAAACCGTTGCAATATAACTCTAAACGCGATGCATCACAAAAACAAAACAAAACAAAATGCAATCAATGCGGCATGGCCATCAGCCACTTTTGTGTCGTGAGCCCGTTTACACTAAAGTATCATTTGCTGACCATCAAACGCTGAATGATGGTTGAGACTAAACTTAAATAATTATAAGATAAATGGAGACTTTACACAACCAGCCACGAGGCGTGCAGTTTCGTATTCAGTTGGGGAGGAGGCGGAATGGGCCTGGTAGCCAGGTATGTAGTTCCCTATTTCTAGTTAGCATTTTTTGTCCATTATTTTTAATTAAGCATGATTGGTAGGTTGTAGCCCAAAAAAGCAACTTTGAGCAGCTACACCCCTGCTTCCAGCTCTGAAAAGAAATTGCGTCAAATCTGCGAAAAACTGTTTTTAGTGCATTTCGGAGGCAGGCTCAGCTATTTTCTTCCTGCCCCCTCACCCCCTACGTATTTTGCAAATCTGCATCCCTGTAGCCTTACATTTATGGACAGAATAGTTCTACAAGCACTTGAAAACGATGCCATTTTGGTTTTGTGACGTCATAGTACAATCAGCTGTAAGCGTTGGCAACGTTCGCTGCCTTCGCATTATCATAACCTCTGCAGAACTCGTGCTTCCTAGCATGATATAAATTAATTAGTGTGAAATACATGCAATAGGGGTATCAACAGATGCAATCAACATCTTTTAAAACCTCTAGCACATTCGTTTGGCTTGATACGCAATGTGACGACAATTAAAAACGTTTTATCTACCGCCTGTCTAACGATCAATACGCTAAGTCTGAAGTGCAACGGGTATTGTGAGTCGTACGCCAGTGATACTCGGCGTCGTACCTCAAAGCCGCTGTCCCTCTCAGAAGCAGGAAGCCTCGTATGAGCCCGTGACATGTGTCTTTCCAACGTCCTCCGTTTGTCTCTGGAGCTACAATTCAGTTATCTATAACAACTCAACTAGATCGGCCGGGCTTTCCACGCTATTACTAGAGACACCCTTCATGGTAGATCTTTA